AAATTAACTTCGTAATTTTTATCATATAATTTTTCTATTTTTAACGAATATCTTTCGAAATATAAGGTATATAAAAAAATATCTTAAACGAAAGTTTTATAGTATTTTATATTTTTTACAATGGTATATTTATATTTTTCGAAAATGTCATTTCAGCTCCCACATTCACTCATTAGTTTTACAAAACTAATGAGAAACTAATAAGAAACAAAAACTAAAGAATTTTGTAAAAGTCAAATGTCAAATCTATTCGTATAAAATAGAATTATGTTTCTATAATTCAATCTTTAGGAAAACGAGATGATAAGATCGTGGTAATAGGAGTCGCGCTATAGATAGGCGTTGCGTAATTTCTTTTCAGTGTTGTACGTTGTATATAATAACTACCTCTCGTGCACACTTCCTCATACTACACGGAAACGGATTAATTCTAATGACACAATATGCAACGCATTACACAGTAGAGAGACGTAGACATAAAAACGACGTAGACGTAGACATAAATGAATCTGCATATAGAACATTGCAACATATGTATGTAGGACATAGCAAGGTGAATTAAAATAGAGCCGCAATAAGGAAACACTTCTTGCAATAAGGAAACTTTTACTTCTTGCAGGCGCAAACATAGTTATAATTTGAAGAAGTGACATAAACAATTTGTAAAAATATGTATTTGACATACTAATACGTTTATTTTGTGACATTACTTTGTATGTATGCAAACAAATTTTGTTTTAATGTTCAAATCTCCCCGATTGTCGAAAATAATATTCTGTGATACGTTGTTAAAAAAAATATGGATCTAACATTGTTTAATGCGCTACGACTAGAGATGTAAAATTATTATCAGATTTGAAGGGACGATTGCTTACAGTAAAATTACGGTAAGATAGTAATTTATTGATAATATTGGTAAAATTCGTTGTTTTTGATAATTTTCATGCACAAATATTCGTGTTTTCCATATTACATTCTTCTTATACTCTCATCAAATGTATATCTGATAATTTCTGAAATGTCAGATGAAAGAAAGGAAACTATCTATAATCTTTCGAGAGTATATTAAAGTTTTAATTTCTTAAAATACTACTAACAAACTTTAATTATATACCACAGTCTAGTTGTTAAAACAGTAAGGTAATAATGAAAATGTTGTAAGTCTGTAAGATGGTATGAAAAAAAAATTGAGACTTTAGAATATTTTTTAAGTTTCTCTAGTTATTATGTATCTCTAGTTTCCAAATTATTATATATTATACATAGTATATCAATATACAGTATCAAAATATTTAAGAAAATATGAGTTAAACTTAAAGACTGAATGCTCCTTTTGAGCATCACGTGTAAGTAAAACAGCGAATTTCCAAGGAATCCGTATCCCCTACTTACAAGATTACAAGCAAATTGACTGACTATCAAACATAGATTGATTGAGGAGAGTCTGTGTTGGAGTGTATCGTCGTTAGATGATTAAAATTGTTTTATTTCAGTAATTTTTTTTCTAAAATGCTGTTTTACCAGCTATCCAAAATTACGGAGTAATTTGTCGTAATTCACCGAGTAAATTACCGTCACAGAGACTGGATCATCTTTTCATCTCTGTCTACAACGTATCCCATCAAAGTCAGCGAGGAATAGTTCCGGCGCGGTTCCCCTTGTAAGTCAAGGATCAAGGGGCGAGTTCGCGCGACTGATCGAATCCATCAAATACAGACACCACAGACCGGAAGCACACACGAGCTCCGCCGCGGACCTCAGCAGTTCCTCTGCCCCGATTGACTCTCGGATCTAACATCTCAATCTGTCTCCCCCGCGCTGTTGTTCGCGATAGAAATACATTTGTCAACGGCGCCGTTCCCGGGCGCGTCCGTTAATCGCACGAGTAATCACGGCCGATTGAGGGCCCCCGCCCTTCGTTCGGCTTAACGAAGGGCTCACGGAAGAGAGCGCACTCAAGGGACCCTTCGGCCCGCGGCCGACACTCGATAATTCAACGGGCGGCCGATATGCCGTATTCTTACTTGAAGATCAATACGGCGTGCTCTTTCGTCGTCATCCCGTTGCGCACGGTGCATGGCACGTATCTGCGCTTTTTTATCGGCCAATTGGGGCAGGAAGCACATCCGTTGTTCGGCCGCAGTCCGTAAAACACCGCGACGGTGGGTAAGGCGGTAGCAGCAGCTTGCGGAGTCAATGTAACTCCGCCGGAAGTACGAGCCGGAGCTTTCCCTCTCTTTCTCGCCCTCCCCCTGCCATCCTCCTCTGCGCCACGCTTCCTCTCCGTCTTTCTCCCTTTCTGCGCTCGCCTTCCCCTGGAAGTTTCCTCCAGTCGTTTCTTCCCTTTCCACGCGCGTTTTTGGCAAACGATCAAGCCGCCGAGGTGCGCCCCGTGAAAGCACGAGGACCCTTTATTGGAAATACCTAATTGGCGAGAAGAGGACGGGATGATAAAGGAAATGGTAATGGCCGAGGTGGTATCCGCGGAGGGTACTGTCAGGGGAAGCCGCAGTACACCTCGAGTACGTACTGCACTCTTGAATATCTACGAAATGTACGAAGATACACGCCCTACGCCGAGCCCGGCTCCGTCGGCGAATCATTCTCGGGAAACCTCCCAGACGCTGCGAATTTCAGTGCCGCGAATCTCCCGGACGATCCGGGGATACGTCTGTCTCTGAGATTGCCGCGTTCGACGCGCCGCGCAATTACACGACCAGACGTCTTTGTATCGACGCGATTCTTCGTACATCCGATACCCCGTTCAACGAGTTGGGGGCGAGATTTAATAGAGATCGTCTGTCGTCAAAGAAAGTTACGAGATTAATCCGATTCTTAATCCTCGAGATCCCGGGATTCTCGTAAGGAGCTGTTAGCTTAATAAGCTGGATCTCGGGGCGGCTTTAAGCGGATTAAAACGAAGAAAAAGAGATGCCTGTCCCGCAAATATCGTTACACAGCGCGCGCAGGAGGAATTCGTCCTCGTGAGCGCATTATTTCGCGGCCGCGAAATTATAAGCATGAGGAAACGGGCGAAAATTCGACGTTAACAAACGCACAAAATACATTTCCACTTACCTTTTCAGTGACCGATCGATTACCCCTCAAGTGCGGGAGTGTTATTTTGCGAAATGCTAAACCGTTGTTCAGGCTTGAATTTCATTCTCATTTTGCCTTTATTAATTAATTAATCAATTAACAATTTAATTAATTGCTTATGATACAACGCGTTGACTTACCCTATACGTACAATAATATACGGCTAACAATGCAATAATTACTAAAGTAACATTTACGATGCAGCCAGCAATTTACACGTACATGATTTACTCTGCATTATTGTTTTGTATAAATCGAGTATGATTAGAACACGAAATATACTCGTGGCAATTTAACAAAAGACGATAACGCGCATGAAAATAAACGATGTGTACTTAATGAATAAAATATTGTTCTCGGTGAGAACTCCAAACCTCGGAGTCCGGAACAACTCCGCGGAATTCGTGGCTCGAAAATTCAAGAAGCAAACACGTCTGCGGTTTTACGGTCGACCAGTGTTTGGTATCGAAAGTGCTTCGCGAATTGAATTTTAGCAAATTCGATCGAATTATCAACAGCTGTGCACGCGTCGCGTGAAACTAGTGGTTGTTCACTAAATAAAGAGGCGTTAAAAATCTTAAAATTAGACAAATTTCAATTGAAAATGATATATCCAATCAAGAAAATGTTTAAGGCTCAACAAAAGTGCCTGTACTGCGACTTGCATAGTCGAGAGTACAAAATGTACCAAAATCCAAGAAAATCCAAAATTGGACTTCTTCACTGACAAATGCTGTACTCTTGACTGTGTGAGTCAAATTTTCACCTGTCAGACTACGCTACTGCACCTGCGTGGAGGCCTCTCGTTGGCCCTTAACCGTGTTCTTGGTTAAAAATCTCTTCAACCCTTCCAAGCTCAAATGATTCTTCTAGAGAATTCCGTGTTCCTATAGGGGGCATACGCCTCTCGCTAACAATGATCATACAATATACAATAGAATATATGTATCGTAATAAATGTAACATACGGTATACATCAGTATCGTATAATGTAACACGGTCTCCTATTTACATAATGGTGTGTGCAACGCAACGTTATGTCACTTACGTATTTATATATCGTTATTTAACACGATCACATGGAAAATTAATTGGAACGATCCCGCGACTTGAGAATTTTAACGATACCTCGCGGCATCGGCGAGCTTGAAAGGGTTAATGACCCTTATCCCTTAAGTTGCTTTCACATTAATATATAATTACAGGCGTAGGGGCTATCCGTAATCCGCGAGCACGCTGACGAAGCACATTTTGATCTTGGAAAGCCCGTGGCCGAGGTCGATTTGCCGCCGGCAAGGGCGAATTACTCTCTAGGGGTTAATGAACGGTTCATTAATGACGCATTAGGATGCGACCGGTCTTGCGAAAATTCCAAATAACGCGATTAATCTAACTAATCTTTCTGCCGTTACTCCTCAGCTACACTCGGTATGCATCGAAATGTGCAAAGACGATATGTGTGCTGCGTCCCTCCGTTGTCAATCCTCGCGCATAATTGTCGCTTCCCGATAATTAAGAGACTGCTAGAATGACTTTTATTCGGAGGAAATTATACCGGTCAACGACTCTTTTGTTTTTTTTTTTTTTTTTTTTTATAATTAAGGAGAGAGCGTATTTGGGAATCTGCACAGAAAAAAAAGATTTGCTAATATATGGACAACTAAAAATATTAGCTGCGGGAGCAAATTTTCTTGCTTTCATAGCAAAGTTATTTAGTTATGATAGCTAAAAGATTTGCTAATATATATATTAGCAAATATATATATATATATTTGCATATATATATACATATATATAATGCATATACATACATATATATATAACAACGACATTTATACATGTTAATATGTATATTAGCAAATCTTTTAACTATCACAACTAAATAACTTTGCTATGAAAACAAGAAAATTTGCTCCTGCAGCTAATATTTTTAGTTGTCCATATATTAGAAAATCTTTTTTTCTGTGTGTAATTCGCGAGACTCTTCAATAATTAAAATTTTCGCGAATTGTCTTTGAAATCATTATTTGATAGTCGAAAGAGAAGAAGAGAGAAAGAGACTGAAAGAGAGAGAGAGAGAAAAGAAAAATTTTAATTCAAAGACTGTTGTAAAAACGATGCTTTGAAAAAATTACTCATGATATGAATTTATAAATTAGAGAGAGAGAGAGAGAATGCATTAGTATTGAAATTTAATTTTCTTTCCATAGAATGGTATTTGCATGATAACGATTAAATTCGCTCGGATAATTTGCAACGATTTTATCTCAAGATATTTCGTCGTACTAATTGTCGATTCTAACTTTTGGATGTGGGAAGGGCAGTAGGGGTTGGGAGAAGTGGAGGAGGGAGGGAGGTTAAGCGTTCATTTTCTCCCGAGTAGTTTGAGATTGATGATTACATAGGTACTTTCTCGGTTGTAACCAGACTGTGAATGTCATTCGCGATGAAGTCACACGGCGAAACGGAGAAACGTGCCCCGATCGATTGCACCCGGAAGAAGCCGCGCGCGTTTCGGTCCGCTCGTCGTTTATTTCTCGCTCGACGACTTAGCGTTACACGGTAACCTCCTCGGAAAACCTGCTCTTGTCGTCGAGGTTGATAACTATGGCGTGCGTCCTGGCGTGGCCGGATTTGCCCCTAGACTTGTCTTTCGCGTCGGTTTCTTTACCGTTATCCTTGCCATGACACACCTCCCTGTCGACGTCCTCGCCGGCGTGCCTCGAGGATGTCGATACGCCGATGTCCTTGCTGGTTCTCTTCATATCCGACGTCTCAATATCCTTCGTGGGATCTGGCGTGTCCTTCAGCCCGATACCGTTCTTCTCGATGCACGCGCGACATCGATTCTCGCCTTGAGAACCGTTCCCTGAACAAATCGAGGCGTTATTCGGACAGAACTCCTCGGCGCGCGAAATTAATTAATCGTCCTGCGCGACTTTGAGAGACACAGGGTGTCCCAAAACAACCTTCGAAGCTCTCGCGGAGGCATAATATGGATTGAGGTGAACACAAAAGGGTAAATATGCAGTATAACGCCCCCATCTTGGATTTTTTTTAACTTTGTAAAGTATATTTTTATGCGTAGAATTGATTTCTGAAAACAATTGTTCATACATGCTTCTCTCTGCTTTAATAAAAAGCATAAACTCTGTTATAAAACAGAGAATAGTTCATGTATGACGAGAACGTCATAATCGTGTATACAGTTAGATCTAAATTTTAATCCGTATAAAAAGGTAATTATTAAGTTTTATAAGATAGTGTATATGATTAAAGCAGAGAAAAGCATACATGAACTATTCTCTGCTTTATAACAAAGTTTATGCTTTTAATTAAAGCAGAAAAGCATGTATGAATTATTCTCTGCCTTTTTTACTTACCGACATTATAAAACATAAAAATAAAAAAAAACAAGAAAACGAAAAGTGAGCGACAATTTTCGTTTTCAGAAATCAATTTTATGCGTAAAAATATACAAATTTACAAAGTTTGAAAAAATCCAAGGTGGGGACGTTATACTGCATATTTACCCACAAAAGTGCTGTGTCGTTTTGTGATATTCGCGAAATATTATATATGGAAAAAAAGATTTGTTATACATGGACAACTGAACATAATTTGCTATATTAGCCACTTTTTCTTTGCTGCAGGAGCTAATTTCCTTGCAAGGATAACAAGAAAATCTGCTCCTGCAACAAAAAAAGTAGCTGAAGTAGTAAATTATATTTAGTTGTCTATCTGTAGCAAATTTGCTGCGTTAGCTACTTTTTTTATTGTAGGAGCAAATTTTTTTGGTATCATAGCAAGGAAATAAGTTCCTGCAGCAAAGAAAAAGTAGCTAAAGCAACGAATTATGTTTAACTGTCCATACGTAGCAAATTGATTTGCTGCTGCAGCAAATTCTTTTTTTCCGTGTAGTAATTATCGAGATATTAATCAAAGAAGATTTGTGAATCATCACGCGAAATACGGTAGATGAGCTAATAACTTTGTAGATTGTTAATTAAAGAGGACTAGCAACTGATCGCTCGCAATAATATATTATCTAATCAATAACTAAAAATTTACAAAATCATTAGGAAAAAAGATAGGTTTTTTGTTCAGTTTGATTGAATATACAAGCATATGAAAGTAGATATCGACACTACAACTCATCTACCATGTCTCGCGTGATTATTTGCAAATTTCCTTTAATTAATATCTCGATAATTATTGCGAATATCGCAAAATAGTATGGAACTTTTACATTCACTTTAACCCGTACCATGCCTCTACGAGAGTTTCGAAGGTTATTCTGCGACACTCTATAGAAAAAATACGGAGAAAAAAGATTTGCTATCACATCTGAGAATCCGACTAGCCTAGCAAATCTATAACCGTGATATACGGACAGTTTGCTATGTTACAGTAGCCAAGCCGCAGAGTTGCATAAGATTTGTGGTTATATCCAGTAAAGTTTGATGCAGCACGACAGGTTTGTCAGCGCAACAAAGGTAATTCTACACCGTAATTAATGGAAGATACGATTTGGTATATGCAACTATCATTCTGCTGTTATATTAAAGGAAATTTGATACATAACGGATTTCAATATAGCAAAATCATCAGTTATTCCAGCAATAGAAGCTAGCTAAAGCAAGAATGCTCACTGAAAAGTCTCGTATATTTTTTATCTGCACAACCATTCAAACAACATAACACAAGAATATTATAAGTATAAATACATTCACATAAAAGTACATATAATTTATATCAATATATTATATCGCAAATGTATAATTATTAACGTAAAAAGGCAAATTTAAATTGCGTAACGCATCATAACGTATTTCTCATCGCAGTCATTTGCAGTCAGACTTAATAGGGCTTCTCCGTAAAACAAATAAAAATATTTCTTCATTATGTGTTGAATAATTGTATGATTTGTTTAATAAAATTAATGAGTTTGTTTCGCAAGCTTCAGTCAGTTCAGAAATACAAAATGATTTGTTGCGCTAAAATAATATCCAGGATAATAAAGGATGGATTTGCTCTATGAGCGAATTGACAATCTAAATCTAATATCTTTGCTACACTGTCAAATCTGCTTAGTTGTAACGTTCAGTTTTGTTCCGCAAGCTATGGATTTGCAGAACCAACTAAACAATTTTTTTCTATACAAGCTCGCCGTACGGATTCTCGACTTTTACGATGAATTTAACTAGGCGCAATTTTTTTTCGCAAAGTTATAATCGGATTGCGTTACTTTTTATTTTGTTCCGTTATTTCTCTCTCCCCGTTCGTTCAATCACCGCCCTCCCCCAAAGAGGATATTTTTTTTATTCTTGTTTTTAATTTTTAAAATTTAAATATAAATAAGCAGTCCCCCCCGAAATACGGATTAGCGGAACATTTTTCGTTAAAATTTTTTCTCTCCCGATATTTCCCCTCGTTTCTAATTTCGAGAGAATCGTATTCCTGCTCTCTAAATTCCTTGGAGTGAACTCCTATTGAAACAAGTGAAAATTCACTCCAAACGATAATGAAAATGTTACTACTCTGAGTGAAGTGGCTTTCCATTTTTCACAAGAGTTCCATTCTATAAAGTGAATTCTTACTCTATACGAATGAATATTTCACTTTGATTAGAGTAAATGTTTACTCCCCGAATGAAACATTCTCTAACGCGTAAGATAAACATTCCTTTTTGCTATATCGTTTTTTGAGGAAACTGACCATGAATTTTGTCTGAAATTTTCTCGGTCATATTTCTATTAATATTATATTTTATTAATATTATTTCATTAATATTATATTTAAAAAAATATGCTTATTTAATCGGAATTGAACTCGGGACTTTTAGTGTTTTTAGCCAGCTATATTGCTACACCATCTCGCACTGATTAATAAATATATTTCGTATTGTCTATATATAGTCTTGAACTCTGCAGAACTCTACTTATAATTTGGAAGAGAAATATAATATTATCTAGTAAATTAATAAAGTTTTTTTTAACGTTATTAATAATATTGAAGAAAGTAGTGAAGTAGCTTTTCCAGTATTGTTAATTATATATACGTTTCTGAAATTTTATAAATTTTACTGAAGTGACACATTGACGGTCACAGTAAAACTTGGTCATCTATTACTATTAGAGTCACGAGTGAAGAATACACTCCACGATACAGAGAAGGGATTCACATCATAAATCACTCTGTAAGCGAGTCATTCCAATTCGAGTAATTCGGCTATCGGTCCCGAGTGAGATTTTACTCTGAGAAATTTAGAGGCTACATGCATGTCATTTAACCCTTATTGTGCACACTTCAGTAGAATCACATAATGGGCACACTGGGATCTTTCGCGATCCCAGCTACAAAAATGTTTACTGCAATAAAATTCGCTTTTTTCATTTGAAAAAATTCCAGGATATATTTCAAACATCTTTTTATATGACGGAATAATTTTTCTAAACGAAATTTAATTTTAATGAAGAAAAAAAATTAGAAAGCCCGAAAAACGCGAAAAATAAATTTATTTGCTCCAAAAATCATAACTGATACAATTTTTGACATTTCAAGGTAAAATTTTAAAAAACTACTCTTAAGACATCTTTTTAAGAAAAAAAAATGAGTACAATAGCAGGATTTTCAAAAAAAGATATTTATTTTGAATATCGAAATTAGGATTTTTGTGAAAAAAAGGAAACAGTTTTTCCAAAATATATAAATTTATTTTATTATATTTTATTTTATTTTTTATTTCATCTTATAGATGTATCTTATTTATTTTATTTATTTATTTTTTCTGGGGTCTTTTTGGCTCCACAGTAAGGATTAAATTGGAAAAAAATTTTTCTGATTTTACGTTCGACTGTTATGCGTATTCGTATAGACGAAATAAATTTTCTCAGTTCTTTAGCCGTAAGGTTCTGAGAATTTTATTTTCGGATATTTCAACTTGAAAGTACATTGCGACACATTACGTATCGCGCGATCTTGCTGACTTATCGCGAGAAATGTGCGCGTGTTTTAAACGATTCGATAAAACTTTGTTTTACTCCTACCTGCCCGCTCCTGCTGCTTCTGACAAACTTGTCCAACGTTAGTTTCCTCCGTTGATTTATTGAGATCGTTCAACTGAACAATGCTGGTCGAGATGGCTTGAATCGTGGACACTTGAGCCTCAACGCGATTTGAAACGTCCAGCATGGCCGCTAACTTGCTGACTAACTCCTGATTTCCTAGCAAAATGTTCTTCTCCTTTAGGACTTCTAACTGGTTGAGCAATCGACGAAACTCATCCTGAACAGAAATATTTCTTTTCACTAAAGCTCATGCTTACATGCTGAAATGCTGAAATTTTTAGCTCTAGCTATACACATTGGGGCCTGTGGAGCTCCGGTAAAATTTCGAAACTCTATTATTGATAGAATTAGTAATTGAAGGAGCCACGACCGTCTTAGAAAAGAAGTTTTTCAGGTATCTTTAATATATTCAAAAACATTTTTTGCTGATAGAATTATAAATGTCATAATTAAAATGCATCGCTGTTTTTTGTATCAGTTAAAAAATTGTCTCTGGTACGTAGAGTTTACAACAGCAGCGTTCTAGCAATATCTGCAAGCAGATTTAGATGAGTGTGAAGATTATACACTCGTAACTAGTGTTTTTTATTTACTACAGTTCAATTTTTATAAGAATTGTGACTGCTTTTAATCTGGACGGACATCCCAGAGAAATCTTCTTACTAAATTTTTAAAATAGTTCAGACAGAAATTCTGTTTTTATTGTCTATGTTGATTAAATACATAATCAATGACTTTGAGACGTCACTGTCTTGGAACTTCAAGACCAAGAATGTCAAAACAGAGAATTTAAGTCCTCGGAAAATTAAGGTTTCAAAAACGTAAAAAATTGGAGATCCCGTAATCCTTGAAGGCTTCTTTGATCTTCAGAACTTAACCCTAGCTATACACACTTCATTAAATATAAAAACAATGTTAATGTTTATTAAATATAAAAACATATATAGTATCGTAATACTTTATAGTTCTTTGATTATTTCAGCGAATTTTTTCTCGTATCTAGATCATTTTTGCTATGAGAACAAGAGTGTTTTATTGAATATAGCTCGCAGCGACAGGAATAGTCAGTTGTCGCTAAGCTGTGTGACAGCGTACCTGTGAAATTAGTCAGGTGTCTCTCAGACCCCGGTATGTCACTCGTAAAACATTTTTTGCATGTAAATAAATCTTCTCATTCATTTTATTTGGAGTTGATAGCATAAATTCATACTTGAAACAATATTTGATTATATTTTTATTACTTTTTCTAAAATATATTGTTCGTAAACGGTAATGAATAACGTTATAATAAAGGAATCCTTCTCTTTTGGTAAATATCCAAACTAAAAAAAACAAGTTTTGCTATTTTTTTTATTTGCCGAACTAAGCCGTTTCTGATGCCACGTTTACAATCAGTGACGTATAATCTATTCAATCATTCATTGAAAGCGTTTTCGAAAATACGGCTGATAAACCGTGTGAAGTTTAAATTGATGAAAAATTGAAAAACAACGCGATGCGGATTTTGTCCATGTGGAAGAAATAAAAGGACTGAGTTTGTATATTCGCGATATAATATCCTTCGATATGAGCTTCGCCGATTATTGTTGAATTGTAAAGATTGGTGTAAAGATTATTGTTGAATTGTAAAAAAGTTAATTTCTTATTATTACGAGGTTATAATTTCTTTATTTTTTATTATTATGAGGTTACATACAATTTCTTTATTTTTTATTATTATTCTTTATTTTTCTTAAACTTTATGCTATCAATATTTTTATAAATAAATGCACTACAAGTCATTAAGTCCATATTTACTAACGCAAATCCTAATTTTTTATATCAGTTTATCAAGCTGTCAGAAAAGATAAATTTGAAAATTAATGATTTTTAAAATCTGGTATATATATATAGTTTCATTGATAATAATCGAAATTTTAAACGCCGAATTTTGTTTTGGTAGCTCGGAATGTGCTTTCTTAAAATCAAAAAGCTTAATTTGTTCGCAAAAAGGTTATAAATTTCTGAAGCAGCTTTTGAACTAAAATGAAGTTTCTCTTAGATCAAAAAGTAATTAATATTTTTGACAAATATTTTTCGGTAATTATTATGATTTTAAACTTTTTTTCAGTTAATTTATGATCGATAAAAAAATTTAATCAAGACACGGTAATTTCCTCGAGCATTGATGAAAAGACCGGCCGGCGCCTCCCGACATTTAATATACGATAATGAAGTATATAGCTAGGGTTAAGTTCTAAAGATCAAAGGAGCCTTCAAGGACCACAAGATCTCCAGTCTCTAATGTTTTAAGTCTCTGAAACCTTAATCTTCCAAGGACCTAAATTCTCTGTTTTGACATTCTTAGTCTTGAAGTTCCAAGACTATGACGTCTCAAAGTCCTGAGAGATTCCAAGCTCTTCAAGATCAAAGATCCTGAAATTCCGAGATATCAAAGTTCGACAGTTTTGACACCGTGAGGTTTAAAGGGTCCGGGCATTGTCACGTTCGGAGATGTCAAGGTACCACGAGACCGCGAGATCCGAGAATGTTCAGCTTTTGTGCGAGAAACCAGTGTTAGATCAGTGTTAAGACAGCGCGGTCGAAATTCAGCCAGGAAGAATCGATTCCAGCTACGCCCGAGAATGTTTAACCAGGAGGAAGAGCGCGCCGCTTCCGGCCTAGCGGCTCGAAGGATCCGGGGATTCCGGGTTTACCGGAGGCGGTGCTTACCGTGGTTGAGTCGCTTTCTTCGGCAAAATTACCCTGCTGAAGGGATATCGAGTTGGTTTGGTTACTGGTGCCCTGCGGACGACTGCTTTTCCCCAGGAACTTGCCGGTCGCGCCGCAAAGTTTGCCGATCGTCTCCTCCTTTCCCCCGCCGCGGAACACCACGTAAGCCTTCGTTAAATGCGACATATGTAACAACCAAACTTACGCAGCGACAGGGTTTCTATTCAGACTACCAGGACTTGCTGTAATCTCGCGTTGCGGGCGCGGAGCGAGGGGAAAACGGAGCGGAAATTGCGCGATCTAATCTCATTTCGTTCCGATTGAATTTTATTTCGTCTCCGTACGCCACATCGCACTCTCAATTATGTCACAGCGACATCGCGCCTGAAGAAAGAAGTAATTTATTTGCGAATTGTTTCTTACAGTATCGAGCATTTTTCGTAATGGTCTCGTTGGAAAAACGCAAGATTTCGCAATCAGTAAAGCAAAGTGCTTAATGTTCAAGGATGTATTGCCCGTTTATATTCTCCGCATATAATCACAGAAAGTGACAAGTACCTTAATATTTCCATATATTTCTCTTCTTCGTATAATAACGTACTGTACATACTATATATAGGCAGTTGAACAACAACGTATTTTACTTAAACGTCACATTTTTACGATCCATTTACTTTAATTTACATTATTTCTGACTTTTACATTTCTATCTCTGAATCACAATGAAACTTTACGCACACCATTTTGAATATTTAAAGTACATTTGTACAAAAATTGAAATTTTTATAATTTTTTAAATTATCTATTCCTTTTTAACATCACATATTTTCATAACAGTATGGCTTAAAATATAATAGCAATAAGTAGGAAGATAACATCAAATGACGTGTCTTTTACGTCAATGACACGTCATTCGACAGTAATCATGTTTACTGAGTTTATACTTCAAAGCGTTAATAACTTTTGATCCAAAATCAATGTCAAATTGTTTATGATCATTTTTAGATGCAATATGAGTTGATCTGTGATTATTTTTTAATTTTTTCATTATTTTTTTGAAATATGAGCAATACATCTTTAGAAATCCTTCATTGCTGACATTTGAAGGATTGAAGGTCTTGCCAACATTTTTGGAGAAAGGAAGACAAAGAATCTATTAATATTTGTGATTAAGAGTCTACTATCCGTAGTAAAATGTAATGCATTTATAAATACCTTGTAATTTGATAATTTTATTGGAGATCATTTCAATCATACGATACTTGAGATTCGAGAACAACGATAAAAGAATGTGTGTTAAAGAGTGCGGCCAAACCGCCATAGATATTTAGTCCCATTTTTTGTAAGTTTGAAAATGGTCATAATTTTAGTATTTTCTGAAAGCTTATTGCAAGTAGATTCGAAATATATAAGTATCAAGGTAGCGTTCTATACTATCATTTGGTATCTTAGTTATGGTCTCACAACCATTTTGTAATTCCGAACGAAAACATCTGCGATATTACTATAAGAATTAACAATGATCAATAAAATATCTTATTTTTCTCTTTTTTTGTCAATTTTTTTTATTTGATACTATATACATTGTCATTAAGTGCTGCTAGTTTATTTGGCTTAGAGAACCATACGGTTTATATCTTCTTTTAGTTCCTTATCAAGTACAAAAGTTGTTATCTAATTGCAAAGACATATGTATAGGTATGTCTTAAGATACTTGTGTTACATTGATTACTTAGAACTTAACTTAATAACAAATTTCGTACTTTTGTCCATTTTTATATGCATTGACCTATGGCGCCATCTCTCGGAAGTAAAACTCTTTTGGACCATTTTCTTTTTTTTTTTTATTTATAAAATATACCTTGCCATTGAGTACAAGCTTATTTGGCTTAAAATATCATATAAATATGTACATTTGAATTTTTAACAGATGTTTATGTCGGTTACTAATTGCAGGGGCATATTTATACGTATGCTTTGCTTATTATTGCGTTGGTTTAGACCATTTTCTCTGAAACGGTGTGGAGCGCCACCTTGATACTTATATATACAGGGCGTCCCGCCACTACCGCATTATCTTTTAAGGGCGGATTCCTGAGGTAATTTGAATAAAAAATCCTCATGCAAAAATGGCGAGGCTATAATACTTTTCAAATTATAAACGATTAAAGTTGACCAATTATACTGGCTAAAGTAGGCGCGCTCAGGTATGGTACAACACACAATGGTACAGGTGCATACACATGTCGTCCCTTTTCCAAATTTGATACGGAAGTTCCATACATACAACAATGTATGTAATAATGATCTGCCTTTTCTATCATTTAAATAAACATGTCACAAACAATAACAGTTTCGTCAAAATGTTATGAATAAAACAACAATACATTTATGAGAATTAATAAGCTGTCACACATTTGACATTTTTTTTTAGAGATTTACAACTAATTTCATATCTTATGCAAATTCTCACTTATATGCATGCACGTGTATCATTGTGTGTTGTACCTGAGCGCGCGCATTTTAGCCAATATAATTGGTCAACTTTAATTGATTATAATTTGAAAAGTATTATAGCCTCGACATTTTTGCATTAGGATTTTTTTCTTCAAATTACCTCAGGAATCCGTCCTTAAGAGATAATGCGGTAGTAGCGGGACACTTTATATACAGGGTGTCCCAAAACATACTATTTTAATGGCAGATTCTTTAGAACATTTTAAAACGAAAACTTTCATACAAAAATGTCGAGGCTATAATAGTTTTCAAATAGGAAGCGATTATATTTCACCAATGACAGGGCTGAGATTTCACGCGCTCAGGCACGCCGAAATGACAAGTGATAAAAGTGTCACACGCCATATAGAATAGTGGACACCTTCATAGTGTAATAATTGATCGACATTTTGACAGATTAAGTTGAAATGTGTCACTTTTACTTGAATCATATTTAAGATGTCTTACAACTATTATTCGTATAAAAAATATATTAATGTAATGCGTAGAGAAGCGGCAACATATTATGACGATGTTATCGTAAATTTATACAATGATCATAATATCGTAAAAAAAATGACATTCATAGCACCTTTATCACTTGTCATTCCGGCGTGTCTGAGCGCACGAAATCTCAGCCCTGTCATTGGTGAAATATAATCGCTTCCCGTTTGAAAACCATTATAGCCTCGACATTTTTGTATGAAAGTTTTCGTTTTGAAATGTTCTAAAGAATCTTAAAATAGCATACGGTAGTTTCGGGACACCCTGTATATGGAATCTACTTACAATAAGTTTTCAAAAAAAAAATAAAAAATTATGATCATTTTCAAACTTACAAAAAATGAGGCTAAACTTGGCCGCACTCTTTGTGGGTATATAGCGATCGATACAGTTAACAACTGGAAGTGTTGGGCCGGAAGATATAGCGATTCTATAGTAAACGCGTGTAAATAATATTTCTTACTTTACTGCCGAATATCAGGCACAGCAGCAATGTGACGGTAAGCTGGGTATGGCAGAAAAATATGATGTACAATAAATCCGGATTGGCCGGCGATTGCAGGAACAACCTGCAGCAACGGGAAAGAAATTATTCAGAGCTGTTAGCCGCACGAAGCGTTATCGTGACGTAAGTCACCGCTATACGCGAGTGTTCCAGATCTTCCCAGAGTTGGTTTTATTTGTTTTTCGCTCTCGCGAAAATTCAAATTGCACCCGTGACGTTAGAACGAGCGATGGGACGTCTCACGTTCGTCGTATCAGAGTTTAACGACAGACGCTTGAAATAGATGTTTTCGGAAACGCTCTTTCCCGACGAAAAGTTGGCGGAAATCCTCGACAGAGGAGAAGAGGATCTAACTAAAGTAGCAAAAATCTTCTTCTATAATACCTAGTTGACGTGAGATGTAGAACGAAAAAAAATGTCACGAAAAAATTATTTAATTGATTCTGCAAATGTTCTAAAACTTCCCAGACAATATAATGTCTAAAATCGGGACATAAGACGTCCTAAAGATAGTTTTTAAGACGCCTTAAAGACATTTATACGTAAATTGTCTGAAAGACATCTTAAAGATGATCTTTAAGACGTCTTATGTCCCGATTTTAGACATTATGTTGCCTGGGTTAGGACATTTTAGGAATCTAACAGCAATAAAAATTGCAACATATTCTATTTCTTAACACTGAAAAAAGATTCGCTGAAAACGCTAGTCTATTCTGCTCGATTTCTAAATTGTCAAGTTGTCGTTGGAGGAGTTGCAAGTTCGTTTGAATTCGCCAAAGAGTCTGTCATTAAACTTCAGGAAAGGCGGGACGTCATGAAAAATCACTAATGTAGAATTTACATTTTAAAAAAAGGTTGATTCGAACGAACGAACTTATACATTAACAGATTAAGCTCACGTGAGGGTCGATCTGGTTTATCTACAGGAAATTTACTTAGAGATTAACACGGAAGTTGCATTACGACACTGTAATGTGCTGAACGCGCGTAATCAAGCAAACGACCACTACTTTCTTAAAGTGAGTCGATAAAAGTGTTTCTGATTGAATCGGTAAAAGGATTATTTCACCGATAACCACACAGAAAAAAACTAGTATCTACTCAGAAACTAATATACTCAGATTAACAATCATTGTTTCGTAAATTATTATTAATTATAAACAACGATTATAATTTTGCTAAAAGAATCTTAAAATCTTGAATTTCAAAACTGTTATAATTTTATTTGAATATTACTATAGTCTTATAAGAAGTACAATATGATTATTTTGATGATAATCTTCACATTTAAAAATATCATATTCTCAATTCAATATTTTGTGTTTCCTCTATTCGTGAAAATTATTTTTAAATAATAAGAATATTTTTTATTGAATTATATAAAATATATTGGTAATAGCGAGTAACTTATTTTCGTTTAACTCTATGTAATCTCATTTTAAGATTTATCAGGAATAAAGATAATTTCGAAACAAGATTGTTCTTTTTTTTTTTGTGTAGTGAGTATTTTCAGAGAAGGCACTTTTATTCATCTTATTTCTCACTGATTTTGACTAGAGAGAGTAGAAGTTAAACTGCACAAAATCTGTAATACACAAATCCGTTACACACGCTATACCAGATCTAATTTTCTGTATTCGTGACGATGAAATTAACGGCTTCCATGCACCTTGCATGCAATGATACTGATGCCCGTGTTCGCAAACTACATCAATAATGGGAATAGTCACTACTGTTAATTGACCCTTTCAGCGAGATTTTACTGATTGCAGTACTATAGTTATAACTGAACCACCAGTTACAGCATTTCAGTGAAGAATACACCGATTCTACTTCAAATAAACTCCAATAATACTTTTCATTTCAGGAGTACTTCAAATCAGACGCATCGTATTTACGTATTTGTGTCGACCATGACTATTGATCTTGAGAAAAATCGGCAACTCAGTTACATTAGATGCAACAGTAATAGTGCACAGAAAAAGAATTAGTATCCACTTAAAACTAATATATACAAATGAATAAAATAAAAATTGTTTCATGTATAAGCGACAATATATAATTTTGTTAGAAGAATTAAAAATCCTGATTTTCAGTAATGTTATAATCTTATTCAAGTAACATAATAGTTTCATGAGAAGCGTAATATAATTAATTTAATGACAATATCTCTTTTCGACATTTAAGAGCATCATATTCCTTATCTACAATATTTTGCACTTTCCATTCAATTATTTTTTAGTAATAAGAACAAATTTCCCTTTGTTGAATCATATAAGATATATACCTGAAAGTAAAATGTCTTAGATTAACATTATGTAATCTCGTTCAAAGATTAACGTGTCAGAAATCAAGATATTTCCTAAGACACAAATGTTTCTTCTTTTCTGTGTACAAGTTGTCAATATCGAGGAATTGCTCGCGCAGAATTGCATCTTACACTTAATTACGAACGCGGCGGAGCTCTCCGCGCGAGCGTTTACCGATAGTTCCGTAATTGGTCATTCCCCGTAGATAAGACTGGTGACAAGGGGCGATCTTGCAGCGCGAACTTACATTGAAACGTTGAGGAAGACTGACAGTAGAAATTCGTTGTAAATCGCCATTGAAATGAATCGGCTCTCATTAAACTCCGACGGAGTTTTTCTCACTACGATGCACAGGCGGATGCCCCACACGAGGAACATCACTTCGACTGAAATCACGCGAAATTCCAAGTCACATTAGTTTCAGCCGGGCAGCTGAGGGCTGTTTTGCCCGAAAACGCGGAGTCGCGGCTGGGCGCTTACTTGCGCCCGCGGCTGGAATTTCAATTTGCGCCATCGCCTTATACCGGCGGGCCCCACACATGTAAAAGTCTGAGTAAACGCCAATTACGTCACGCCCTAGTTACGACTCTGTAAATCGAAGAGAATCTATGCGAATCCGACGCACGCCCAAGTCTCGACCGCGAGTTCGAGATTCGCGCGCGCGCGCGCGCTTCGCTGGATAGATCCGACGTGCGACGCGATCGGCAATCGGCAGACCCGACGTCTCAGCAGCTCCGACATGTCTGCGCAAGCAGGGTTCCGTGAAACCGCGACAACACGGGAAAATTCACGTCTGTGAAGTTGGCCCCACTTTTTCAAATTTTCAAAAAAGTGAGTAGAGTTCTGGTTGCCCCCCGAAGAGTTCTAGAGTTCTCTATATCGATAAAAAAAAGAGTTCCGTCAATTAAAGCGGGCAAAATACGAAATGAAACTACGGGGGGGCCAACTTCACGATGGTGTAACTTTAAAATCCTATAACTTTTTTATCTTCAATCTTAGCGCAAAATTTCTTAAAGATAATTGATAGAACTTTTCGGGGGGGGGTTACTAGAACTCTCAATAGAACTCGAAAATTCCGAAAAAAATTTAATTAAAATCCGAAAAAAATAAAAAAACAAAAAATATTAAAAATATATTATAAAAACGCAAAAGAAAACTTATATTCAGATTATTCGATCGTAATTTTCTAAGGGGCTACCGATAAAACAGAAAAGTTATATTAGTCCAAATTTTCAAAGACCCCGAGAAATAAAAATTTTTTTCGGAATCTTGGAATTCTGTTGAAAGTTCTGGTAGCCCCGCAAAAAGTTCTATCGATTACTCTTATGAATCTTCGAACTGCGATAAAAAACGAAAAAGTTACAGCGGCCCAAAGTTTTTAAATCTCTTAGAGGTAAAATTTTTTTCGAAATTTTGGAGTTCTGTGGAGAGTTCTGATAGCCCCCCGAAGAGTTCTATCGATTATGCTAATGAATCTTAGCTGCGATCAAAAACGAAGAAATTACAGTGGTCCAAAGTTTCAAGTTTTTCGGATGAAATTTTTCTAAGTCCCTTAGGGGTGAACATTTTTTTCGAAATCTTCGAGTTCTGTTGAGAGTTCCGATAGCCCACCGAAAAGTTTTATCGATTATCTTTAAGAAATTTTGTGCTAAGATTGAAAATAAAAAAGTTATAGGACTTTAAAGTTACACCATCGTGAAGTTGGTCCCCCCGTAGTTTCATTTCGTGTTTTAACTGCTTTAATCGACGGAACTCTTTTTTTTTTATCGATGGGGAACTCTAGAACTCTTCGGGGGGCAACCAGAACTCTACTTATTTTTTTCAAATTTTTAAAAAGTGGAGCCAACTTCACAGACGTGGAAAATTCGCGTTTGCAGGAACTTAAGGGGACTGGAGGGTTGTCTGAAAATAACACTTTCGCATATTCATTCAGTTTGTCATAAAAAATTGTGAAAGAACAAACACGATTTTCAGGAAATCTGACCCTCCAGTTCCTTTAACTCTTTCAGGAGGGGGATTTCTCGGGGAGATAATTATAGAGAAGTACGTATTCATGGGTTTTTGGAGTCATTGAATCTGAATCTGAACTTAGATTTTTAAAATTCTGTGATTCAAAATGACGGACATAATATGACGGAAAAAATTATAAATAATATAAATATCACTCAATTTCCATGAACTATGAAACTTTTTAAAGATACTTTTTTGAGAACTATGAGTATGAAGTTCCACGGAAATTGAGTCATATTTACATAATTTGGCATCTTGAAAATCGCCACATTTGATCCGCCATTTTGAATTTTACATTTTGTTACTTCAAATTTGGAAAGAACACCCCAAAAAACCTCTACATACCGATGTTTGTGAATATCGGATCGATAGTTTCTGAAATACATGCATGAAGGCCGTAGAGCCTCAAAAGATGTCTCCTGTTCTGAAAGGGTTAAGTTTGAACGCTCGATATAATTTCATGCATAAAGTAACGAGAGAGAGAGAGAAGAAGAAGAAAGAAAGGGAGAGAGCGACTTTTACCTATCTCAAACTATATATAAATGGAAATGCTAACCGGGAACTCGTCGGAGAGATTGTTAATAAGAGAAGTAACGTCTGCCGCTGTTCGCCGATGAGGAGGCAGAGAGAAAAAGAGAAAAAGGGAAAGAGAGAAAGAAAGAGAGAAAGAGAGAATTAATCGCGACGATGCGAGGTCACCCTTCTCGAGTCGATACACTATCCATCTTGATTTAAAATCGCGCATTCGGCCATTCGCAGTACTGCTAAATCAATACGGCTCGTGTATGCATAGCCTCCTTCTCCTTCCATATCTTATATTATATATATATATATATATATATATATATATATATATATAT